AAAGAAGCGAACCCTCACCACTAATTACACCTTCTCTTGACTAATTCAAATTGGTGATTGCGCATCAAATTGCTCTGATCTTTTGCAAACATTGACGTTTCATTTTTTTAAGGCTTACTTTATGCTCCACTATCCTCTCCTTAGCGTGGACATGTTTAACTGTGTCATATAGCAGGACAATGTCAAACAGTAAAATCTGGTAAATTAACTGTAGACTGATGTTGTAGAAGTGGTATCCTCCACTCGATCCACCCATAGTTCATGCGGTTAGAAAGTGCCTTGTGAACGCACCGAATCGCTAAGTGCGCTGGAGGCAAACGAGCCCAAAAGGTCAGAGTAAAAGTAAAAGTGAGGCAAAACACATCATGCTGCCTCCAAACGACTCTGAACATCCAAGCTTTTTTTTTACTGAAGGCACTTGCGACCTTTTCAGTATCAAAAGATCCACTCTCAGAATAGAGTATTTGCTTCGAACTCCACGTCGTCATAGACTTGACGATTTTAATTAAAATGGGAGGTTAAATAAAAAAAAAACGGCTTATTTTCGAATCTATGCAAAATCTTGCGTCTCTCCACTCTTCAGTACATTCACAGGCACCTTTCAACTGTTTACAATTCCTTTGATAATTTTTCGTGAGGTAAACAAAAGAATTGACGCCTTTTCAGCTTGTGAAAGCAAGAGGCTGCTTATATGCTTGCATAATAAAAAGAAATACGCGTCGATCCATCAGTAAACACCATTTTATGCTCTCTTGCCTCTCTGCATCATACGTATGGCCTAAAACTGGGGAATCGTGGGGAGTACGTCAACCCCCAATCCGGTAAGGGGCGGCCAACAGCCACAACATAACATGTCAGGCACTTGCCGATCCAGACCTCGTCCTCGTAGAACTGTTTTGTTAAGCCAAGTAGCCAATAATCCTCCAACAAGTGCTGCGTGGAAGGTGCACAGATATTAAAATTAAAAAAAAAAGAGTATCAATGAAAATACTAGCTTTTGTTACCATCTACTTCTTTCACGCAATAAGAGGACGCCATTCCTAGACTGGGTGCCAACAGACAGGATTGTGATAGGCGACGACACATCAGTGAGCATCTTCAAACAATTTACTATTATCCCACGTTTATCGCTTATAAAGATATGTTCTTTGCGTGTAGGTGATTGCAGACGGAATCATGCTTATTGAGGTCGGCCTGATGTTCCTAAGACCCGGATAGGACTAATTTTTCTTTAGGAAAGAAACTACCTCGTCTCACTCTCCGTGTGCTTCAGACATTCCTACACAAAGTTAAAATATCACCTCTTTTTGGAATTTTACTCCATCCAGACAGTTGGAAAAGCCAATGAACCGGAGGTGTCCAGAGATTGATGCATAATTTTCAAGCTTGCATCTGGTCTTAAAAGAATCAAGGATTGTTTTAGTTATCGTCTTAAAAATTCAAATATTTAGAGGAGATTTCTGCAGTTTTTGCCAGTCCTTAAAATTGCATAAATGTACTGCACAGTCTCATGGATACTTAAGAAAGAAGGTGTGCGCATCTGCTAGACAAGTTGCTAAAAAGCATTCCAACGGCAAACAATTCACCATAATTTTTGAACCGAAATTGCTTAATTTGTTACGCAAACTGTAGGAATTCTAAAATGTCAATTCGAGAACAAAATTGTTAGGAAAAAAGCAAGATTGTCTTTATTTTCACAACTTGTGTCGCAGATACACTTATAATGTTATTTTCATGTGGTTATTTACATTTTAGCTTACCTTTGGAGTAGTGAACGCAGGTCAAGATGTCTACTTCCAACCCGACCCCAACGGACCCAGCGTCTACTTCAGTGATGGTCCTCTGTCCTACCGCTACCGGTTGCATGGAGGCGTCATCAAGTTTGGCAGTACTTCAACAGTCGGCTCAGAGCATCAGATCGATGGAAAAACATTCCCTGGAGAGGTAGAATCCTCCTTTATCGCCGGTTTATATTGTCTATACTGTGCGAGAGATTGTGGTAACGCTTTGAAAAAGCCCGCCTCAAAGTCTAAAATCGACAATGACTGCAGTTTCAAAGCCACTGAAGGCGCATTGTTGCGATATGTTAGATCCCAATCATGATACCCTTTATAGATGCAAGAATTGCTTGAAAAAGCAGAGGTTTTTCAAGTGTAAATAAACACTATGGCATTTGTTTTAAAACGATGCAGACTGTAGTCGCGTTTTATAGATTGCTTTTGCTGATGTTGCGCATGCGCACAAAAGACAGACCTGCACTTCTTACCTGGGGCGAATCCCGCACTCGTCTATTGCTGACACCTAGAGCGAACGTCCCATTTCCCATTTCGCAGAGGTCAAATTATCTTACTCAGAAGCCATGTCTTAAAAGGGCATTTGTGACAGCAGATGGCGTCTGTTGCTTTGTTAGTTGTTACTTGGTTTGTCAGAAGTTGTAGCTGTCATGCCGATCACAGGGACGCGTGCAGTAGCCTAACTTTAATTTACAGAATAATCACAAGCTTTTTCAGTGGCAGGAGCTTCTCGTGCCTAAAACACAAGTGTCCACGCCACTACAGTAAGCACTCTCACGTAGCGCAATAATTTACGCCTTTCTTGTTTCATTTGCTTTTATAATTCAAAAGTATTAGCACTTTGAACCGAGTCCCAGTCAAACAGAATAACAACTGTTCATACACCTTTTAATTTCTCCAATAAACTGAAAGGTTGCTTTTTCACTCCACCATATTTGCATATATTTTGATACCATTTTAATTTGCCATAAAATTCACACATGCTTTTATTAGAATAAAATTTACTTCTTCCTTTCACCAAACTGCCTAAAATAGCGTTGAATGATACAGACTGCTTTATTATCTCCTATTTTAAATGTCTGCTTGGCGTAGTTATTTACCAAAACGAGAGGTACAACAATATGTGTATAATATTTTGGAAAATAACTAGTTATTTTCGCTTGAATGTACACATTTGCATATTTAATTAGCTTGTCTAATTCATGAATAAATTAACAGGGTTGACGAGTGGACTAATTACCTTGATCTGTTTCTGTGGCAGCACAGAAGTGGTGCAAATATTTGCCTCTTCTTGAATTTACCAACTCTAGATTCAACTGTATGCCTACAATTCTGATCTCTATCACAATTTCACCCTGGCAGTCAGCAGACCCAATGGACTTGCAGCCGTCTCTCTCTTTTTGCAAGTAAGTCGGATTTGCATATTGAGTTTTCAGTGATTCGCATACACAATTTAGTGCATTAATTGCATACAGAGCCTCCCCTCCTTCACCAACGGCACTTGCTTCTTGCCATCATTTATCTTTCTCCTATTCCAGGTAGGCCAAAGTCCAGCGCCCGATATATCGGCTCTCCTTTCCACTGTTGCAGAAGTAAAATTAAAAGGTGTGGTTGCATTATTTTTAAGTTGATACTTTCCGGCTGTTGGGTTAGCGTTCGCTTTACTTTAGCTTGTGAAAGGGCTTGGTAAAAGTTCCGGAATGTTTAGACCTTTTTACAGGCAAATGGATGAGTTTACAAGCAAATAAAGATTGATTGATTTAATTGCCCGATCTTGTTCTACTTTTTTTTAAATTATTGCCCGAAACATAGTGAAGCAGTAAATGTGGTAGAACGGAAATGGATACTGTATTGGCGAAGAAAGGTATGCATAAAGTGCGTGGAGGTGACTCCTTTAGCCATATGGATGTTAAATGTCAAGAAAGCGGTAATAGCTAACTTTGCTCTATGGTCGTGTAATTGAATGGATGTGATTCTGACTTTGTATTTAGGAGGTTAAAGCACCACAAATGCGGTGGATAATAAAAAAGCGCCGCCTCTCCGGAACTCCTCTTAGACAAGAGGAAGTAAAGATATTGTCCTAAGAACTCCAACCGATTTCCGCAACATCTGTGTTTGTTAGAAAGAACGATTGCATTTTGCAGTGTTGTCGCACCGACAACTGAAGTAAGGGCGTTTCGGTCTTTGGGAAGCAGTAGGTTGACCTCTATAGTTCAGGTTTGCTTGGCTTCGAACTGGAAGATTTTAATATTCCTTCCAGACTGTCTGTAAATCAAAAGGTTGTAGCAAATGCTCTCCTAATGCAGCAATGCTTTCCCTTCGATGTGCTTAAAAAGGGCATCGGAGAAAGCTCTACGGTCTCATTCTTCAAACACTCCTTCCAAACACCAATGAGTTCATAACATATCAAGGGTCTCTCGGTTTTCCCGCCTGTCATGAGACCGTGACTTGGATCCTCCTGAATGCACCTGTCACAGTTACTGAAGACCAAGTGAGTTCTCCGACCTCAAAGACCTTTACTTTGAGCATCTATTTTATAAGAATAGGCAAGCTGGACAGAAAATTTCTATTATTCTTCCCAAGACTCAATCAGAGTTGCTCATAGCTGGCAAAAGCTGGTTAGCAAAAGCTCAGCCAAGTCTCAGTCATCAAAAATGGTCGGACAGGGTAAATGTTCGCCTATCGCCTCCGTGCATCAAATGTTTGAATTGCCCAGCTTCCTTAAATGTTGGATTTTTTCAGTAAGCAGGACAAAATGGACTTGTTTTTACTAAGTCCTTACCTATACATTTGCGACGACTATGCAGTAAGCATTCGAGCGACATTCCTGAACTCTCCCCTACCACTTTATGATTAATGCATTTCAGATCGCTGGTATGTTTCCGATCCTAACTTTGCGATTGGGTGCAAGCCAAATTGTATAGGTACTGTTTACGTTGAAGGTATTAAAGTTGTAGCACAAAGGCGTATTATGGACCCGCCTTTTTCCACGGTGTTAGGTGGTACCTCCAGACCAGGAAAGAAGGACACCAATTTGAGGTAGTTTGCAGGATTTCCTGTATCAACGTACATTGACAGAAAAACTAAGATTTTTCAACCCTCTCCAGACCGAGTGATTAATTGCCTTTAAACCTTTTTTGTATTCACATTACATTTTTCTTTTTGCTTGACCTGTTTAGCCTTCTTTTGTGAAGAAAAGGAGAGAAAGAGGTGAGGAAGTAAACTAACCTACCACAAGTAGAGGCAAGTCAATCGTACACACATGAAGTAAAAAATGGAGTTTTATGCTGAGATGTCTGTTTTCCACTTCAATTTTGCAAGGAGTAAAGAAATTTACTTCCTTTCTCTGCCTTTACTGTCCGCGGCCTCCAACTCAGTCCTCAAGCGGCCACCACTTCTCTAATCACGTAATTTAAAATGAAATTCGAATTTTAATGTTGCATCCTGCCTCTTCTTTCCCATTTTTGGTGTATTTTTTTGTGATGTAAACCTCTGGAGACATTAAAATTTAACATGCTAGACGAGGCTTTCGTCGAAAGGTGACAAAAATTTGGTTGCTAAAAAGGCTAAAAGGTATCCTAGACTTTGGATTGCAAGTGTCAGAGCTTCATGTAGCCTACTCGACTTTATCTTCATCTCCTTTTCTCCTGCAAATACTGAAAGATGAAAACACCAAAAACTGCTACTAAGGGACGCTTTCGCTCGCCGGTGCAAAACGATTCCAAATTTAAAAGCATTTGTGTTATGCAAAAGGCCAAAGTCAAAGGGTTTCTCTTTCATTTTTTTAAAATGCTACCACAACTTTTGTTCTACAATAATTTTACAACTATGCTATTTTATTTCACGATTTACATGGATACTACTCGTTTTTCGTTTGAGTAGTGTGGCTGATTGAAGAGCTTAAAACTTGAACGCTGTAGCCTAGTGGTCATTTGGACGCCGACGAACGGATTTATAAGAATTTGCCAAATGAAAAGGGAATTACTTGATGGGACAACAACATTTAATGATAAAGTCAAAATCTGTAGTCTTCATGCTGATTTCCAAAGGTTCAACTGTTTAGAAGAGCATCAAAAATCCCTTAAATTTATGTACAAATTTCAAACAAAGTGTTGCCATAGGTCCTCCAGCATGCCGTGTCTTTTACACCAAAAATTGTACATAGGCTTTGCTAGATTAGTCTCTCTCCCCCACTTCGAAGATGTATTTTAAAAAAAACTATGAATCTATTTTCACTTATTTGCTTAAATTTTACTAAATCTCCTCGTAGAATGGTCTGTTGAAAGTAGCTGAAGCTAGATAAGAAAAGTTCGACGAAGCATCTACGTGTCATCTGCGTTCCGGAGTAGAGCAACTCCTGTTTTAGCGTAGCCAAACATCGATTTGAATGACTGGTTGCCACTTTTTCTTCTTCGTCTTCTTGCACTTCGAGAATAGCCTGGAGGTCGCAAAAACACGCATAGCCAAAGAACCAGCGGTGTGTGGTACTCGGTGGTCCAGACATTCCGTCACCATGGCCATCATCGGCTTTTAAGTGCTGCAAATTAAGATTCAGACTACACGTTGACATGCATTTTGGGTGAACTTCGAGGTTCCAGACACAAAACCAGGCCTCTGTGCCGCCAGTCGTGTCACCATATTTACCTGTGCTTGCCAATGCACAAATGATAAATGGCAGGAGATTCGGAAAACCAAGCTCCTTTGGACGTTTCTAAGCTTCCTCCAATACACAGCTCGTTCCACGGCCCTTAATAGTCGAGTTCCCATTGCAGAAGTCGCCTCTAACTTCCGTAATGCGGTGGCATGAATATCTTAAATGGCTTTAAATGTCTAATTTTTATTTGAGCGAAACCGCGTCTTATCCTGTCAAATGCAAGCGTAATTAAACTTGTTTAAAGCCCTCCAGGGATGCTCAAGTATCAGTTACTTGGACTGTGTAATGATTGCAAATGTTAAGTGTGTGAATAATTAATTCAATAAGTTCCAACTTTGTATTTCATCTAAAAGTCATTTTATCCCCTCGTGATCGTTGAAAAATGGTGATGGTGATGGTGATGGGTGATTGACCTCCCTTCCATCAAGTGGGGGTGGGTGATTAATGAAGTGCAATTTTGGGGAGAAAGTAGGTCTGGAGAGGCGGACCATTCAAGCATTCATCATGCCTGCCAATAGCCCTTTTTCAAGCCTGACAAATGAGGATTCGCTCCAAAATACCCCTGTCGAAAAGACGAAGTGTTTTGAAACCTTGATGTGATTTATTTACCTGCTGAGGAGTTGTCATCGTGCAGGCGTTATCAATTTGTCATTCACTTTGACTACTTTTTCAAGATGTGTATCAAATGAGGGCTAAAATTCCTCCAACTTTCCTCACAACGTACGTCAGTAGAAGCGGATTGTGCCTACCTCGTAAAAGCACCACTATACCTTCAAATAATTACGCACGACATACATCTACAGCTTTTTAGAGAAGTTTGCCTCCTTAAGGAATTGATAAGGGCTAAAGGTACAGCATAACAGGAGGACGACAGGGTAAAGGGGCGCATTTGCGAGTAAGTCACTCTTTTCTGAGGCCTTCAGTCAGTTCTACTTAAATTGCAGCCACCTTTTCTGATTCGCTTTGAAGAACCACTCTGTATAAGCCCATATTGCTTTGTTTATTACTTAGAAATGACTTTCGTGCCAACCACACATTGTGTAGGAAAAGACCACCGAGTCACAAGTAAACAAGGGAAAATAAATGGGCCGGCGATTGGATGCATTCATCCCATGCATAACCCAACAATCCGCATTCACCAGGGTAGTGTGATTGGCCTTTGTTGTGATAGAAATTTGAATGAATGAAAGGATACGAGGTGACGCAAAAAAATCATGTTTAACTAATTTTTCACACCCTCCCAGATGAAGGGATTGCGCGGCCTCAGAATGTCCGAATTCAAAAATGCCGGAGCCATGGCCGACAATTATCGACCTATTCAAAAGTCAAATAACCGATTTATTCGAACCAATATCTACTTTAATGCAAGTGTAAGTAGTATATTCCCGAAAGGATTGCCTGATTATTGAAAAACTTTAAGTATAGTTTATGAGTTGTGCTTCGCATTAGTAATACCGTTATGTTATCACTTTCTTGTTGGTACTTGCTACTGAACGTTCTCACTTCGGGAGGCGTTCCTTCAGCGACTTGCTCGGGCCATTTAAATCTTGGTTTAGTGGAGGAACAATTTTATTGAACTTCACTTTTTTTCTCTCCTTCCCTTTGCAGGACTACCGACAATGCGCACTTCCACCGCGGCTGTCTTATGAGTGTGAGTAAAGCAGAACAATCACCTGTCTTGTCCGCCTAAAAAAGCAAAAGGTGGTTAAAAATTTTAAGTGAAAGCAGCGAACCTTGTATGAATGGTAAAAGAGGAATTCATACAAGTGAAGTTTATGCATAGGGAAGGTAGACAAGATTTTACAATTGTAAAATGCATTGCAATGCTTCAACTAACATGTCGTTTAAACGATTGTCTTTAAAGTAGCATTGAATGCAAATCGGCCTCTTGTTTAAGTTCAGCTGGTAGCAAAAGAAAACAGCCTTTTGAGACACTTTTAAAAGAACGTATTGGCACTTGCCAATTCAGGATGACTCCTCCATCCTTTTTAGAAGTCACAAAAAGTTATGCTAGGGTAGGATGTGTATTACCGCCTGACAGAAGCCCGATAACGGGGTTGAATAAGCACCAAAAGCATTGCATTGCTTCCCTTCCGTCTGCCTCCCAGTACAGTTGACGCTCTATGGACAAGCTAAGCCACGAATCAAGGTTGTGTCTAAATGACTGCAGCGCCACTTATTATCTCTCCGCAAATCGCTGGGTCCGGTGTTTTGGCTTGTTTGGGATTTGTTTTGAAAATAGGTAAAACGTATGTCTATCACAGGTGGCAGGAGGACCGGTGCAATGTAACAGGGGCTGTGAAACCTCCGCGAGGATAAGGTTTCGCACTTATCTCCCTTTTCCGTTTTCTCTTCACTTTGATGATATTGGGTCATTGTACATTAAGGAGGCATTCAGCTAGCAGGAAGGTAGAGGAGGTATAGAGTACATCGTGCATATGCCTTCGAGACGTTTTAGAATAACGTACGACTTGTTTTGCCGCGTTGGCAGCTATCATTCCTTCAGATCACAGAACCTAGATATTTGTCAGACGTAGACGTCACTTCCATTTCTCGTGGCGTCACAGACTCTTGCGCCAACGTGGCGCCTCGAGGTCCCACCACTCAGCGCAGGTACAAAGGATGAAGCTCGAAGTGCTCACGCAGTCAAACGGCAAGGCGAAACACCCAACTGAAGCATTGCCTTCAAACCATAACCATTTAGTCACGCAGTCAGTGAATGGAAAAATGTCTGCTAATTAACTATCTTAGTTTACAACGATCGCTGGCACACGTCATCCAACTTTGCATTCTTTTATTGTAAGACGGATTTTTTTTCCCTTTCAGGCTACCCGGGTACATGACACGAAGGCGTGATTTCGGTAGAGAACATTTGTGTCTTTCTCTCCTCTCCTTCTTTAGCTTCCTCAGCTCCTACAGATCCCTGTTGTACATTTAAACTGCTCCTTTTTTATGCATTATATTGTACATCAATTTTTTTTTTCTATATAAATGCATACATAAGGTGCATGTGCGTGGATGCACAAGTTGCTGCGGCCCAGACTCCCCAGAGGTTTCCTTGCCCTTAGGTGGGTGCATTTTGCAGGTGTTGTGTCTGGACATAAATGACACTATTTGTGTGTACAAAGCACCCTACGTACTTCATTCAGTGCAAATCCCAATTGTGAGGCTCTTTTTTAATCCCATCGCTGATGCTTGGGGTGTGGATGGCGATAATTTTGGAGTCTTGTAGGTTGGCCTTCCCTCGTAAGTGCTTTATGATACATGGAAAAAAAAACTATCAAACTTGCATAACTTAGCAAATACCATCATCGGCAGTCTACTTTTAATTGTTTGTAGGAGTGGAGGAAAAAAATGGACTTTCGATAAATCGCTGCTCCTCCTTCACTAATGTGTTTGGTGAAGGATCGGAGTGGGTATGGGACTTGGCCAAATTTCTGACACAGCTTGGAAGGGCTTAATCACAACTAATTGTCAAAAGGTGTCATTTTTGATTACCTGTACGATTAAAAATGGATAAGTATGTCAGATGGAATGGAAGCAGGGCACTTTCACCTGAAAATGATGGTGCCAAATGACCTTAAGTTGAAGGCGTTTATCAGCGCACACGTTAAGTGCACGTTTGCATTCCCTCTTGCTGAAGTCGTACGCCGCCAAAGCCTTCAGACCTTAAATCAAAGTGCATGGAATCCACCCTTCTTTGGTCTAACAAAGTAAAATGGAATAAACTTCCTTTCCCCAAAATATCCAATCAAATGCCTTGGATTTGATATTCATCTAATGAGCCCATGCCAGTTTTTCAGTCTGACTAATTATTGCGAGAATGTCTTCACACTTTTTTTGGAATCAAACGAGCTAATTAGTTATGCCAGTTACATATTTTCGCAACTGTGCAGTAAAGCAACTTCCCGAGACTTACCCAAAGACGGAAGAAGGCGACGCCTGTGCATTACAGAGGCAGCGATGGTCGCAGGGCTACAAAGCTGGCTCTCAGGCTAATCAGTCCAGCAAATGTTTACAAGCCCATCTACAGTCATGTACGAAGGCATGATGGAGAGTGAGCTAAAGTTGTTAAAGCATTGTTGAGTGTCATCTCCCGTACTGTCCTGAAAGCCCTAAAAGGCCATCAGTGTTTAAAAACAAAAGCACCTATGAAAAATCAGCATCGGCTCTCTAACCTGAGTACAACAGAGGGAGTACCCAAGGACAACTTACCAGACTTCTGGGTCTTAAAATTTGACCAATTTGGATACTGCATTAGTGGAAGGGAAGGACTTTTTTTCATTACCAGTTGCAATGATATTGGGCTACAGGCATTCATTCACCTAAGGGTGGAGCTTAAAGGTCTCCAGAGATAGGATCTTACTCCCGCTTCCTCTTGCTAGTTTTCTTCTACTTTGGTGCTGCCCAGCCAAACATATCCGGGTTCTGAGCAGCCAGATGAGGGATGATAGAAGCATAGCCTGTTCACGTACCTCTTATCATGATACAGGCACCGTAAATAGCTCCTCTACGACTGTTTTCAAGATGGTTGATGATTTTGGCTAAAAAGACTTCAGTTCTAAGCTGCCTTTCGAAGGGCACGAAACATGAGTAGATGCCACAGTTTGACACAAGTCTTAAGACCCTTTGATGGGCTTTGCCGTAGATTTCTGACCTAGTGGGTGTCATTATTATCGTGAGTGCTTCCTAAGAGTGCTGTGGCCTTACTGAAGTCAAAAACAGCCACAAAACAAAAGCGAAGCATACCGTAATGCGGTGAGGAGGGAGGGAAGGTCCACTGGCACCATCTAGAGACTGCATCATCTAAAGCATCTAGAGAATCGCAACGACTCATTAAAACCTCATGTCTTAACCGTGTAGCAGGGCTTTGGTCATTGGAATTTTGGCACTCCTTACTTTCACTCGGACTGTTGATGGACACTTTTACAATGCGATTTGACCTTGTGGAGGAAATTCGCCTTCATTTTGTAGTGAGCGCTCGCACTACTTACACTGGTTTGTCAACCGCTTGCCCTGATAACATCTATTAAAATGTCCCCACTTCTCTGATAAGGGAAAATGTTAGCAATTTATGAAACTCAAATGATTCTTCGCACCAAAAATCTACTAGCACAACATCCTCTTTACCTACATTTAAAGCTGCCTTATCAATCATGCAAATCACAGTTTTCTTTTGCCGTTCTTCTCTCTCAACATTATGATTTGTTTATTTCTGCAAAAGTTGCTACAATGCCTGCTACTAGACTTTAAAAAGTTGGGATGTATTAAACTTTCAAAGTTTACATTTGAAAAAGCACGAGAGGAGAAGATAGTCAGAGATAAATTTGGTTTTAAATGTCGGCTGAGTTGGATGATTAGCCCCTTCTGACGATTGAAAACAAATCATGTCAAAAGCCGTAGTTGGTTGTTTGGTGTCAAACAGATGGAGATAATCACGCATCACAAAAAATGGGAGATGAGACCCTTGATAGTAGGGCCTCTTATGTGCTCCTTCCTTCAGGTCTGTGGCTCAGGTCAAGGTGTACACTTTTGGACGAAAAGGCGCCAACTACTTGCCAGCCCCGAGTGATGGGCAAGGAAGTAGTACAATTTGACACTTTTTAAAAAATCTACTCAGACACAGTTTCTCCTTAGCTTTATGTCACCAAGAGGAGAGGAGGTTCATCAGGTCGTCTTTGCTTGAGGTCCGAAGGATATTGACGAAGCGTCCTAATAGGGGATGCATTACAAAAGAGATGCGACTCCACAGTAAAGCGTGAGCCTTGCGAATTCATGGCTCCGCAATGGCCGCTTTCGATCGTCATGACTTTGAGCAGGAAATCAGGACGATCGCAGTGACTACTGTTTGAGTCCAAAGTGCACTTTAAAAAGGTTACTAAAGTATTGTTTTAAAGTTTAAGGTCATCAGAAAGTGGAAATGCGTCAGGTGAAACCACCTAAAGGCGACAATGTTCAGTCGGCGACAAGTTCGCCCTCTTCCGTCATTACGTTGATAAGCAATTTACAGCAGTCGACGAATTTTAGGTTTCCAAAAGAAGACATTTTGAATAACTGGTTAAGAGGTGGTGAAAATTGTGCTTGGCAGTGGCGGTGGATGTTGCAACTCTGCAGCTGTCTAAAATATGGCAATTTTTTGTGTCTAAATCGGCCAGTCAACTTAATCGCAAAATTGTGCCAAAGCATAAATTAGACAGCAAAAATTTCCATAATTAAAACCAAACCGAGTCCAGCCTCCTTGCTGCCTGTAATTTTGTGCAAGTTTTATTTTCTGTGCGCATGTGTGTATGTCTGTTTACATTATACCTCGACATCTCCCTCCTTCTGATGGCTTCCATCCACGCTGGTCGATGATTAGAGAAAAGCTAACTGCAGAGGAGGGCGTTGATTCCCCTTCTTCCCCTTCTCTCTCTCTCTCTCTCTCTCCCTCTCCCTCTCTTGCATTCACACTTTTCACACCAAACGAGGCGTTTTGTTAAAATTCCTCTTGTCTCTCGTTCCCTTACCGCCTTCTCAAAGTCGCATTTTTTTTGCGTCGTTGGAAATTGTATGCTTCGACAGAAAATCAGATGGAAAAATGTGTGACTTTTGCACTATCGTGCGTTTAGATACTCAATCCTACTGTCACCACCAACATAATTTGTTGTAATATTTTTTTT